TTTAGTCTGGGACTAAGCTTAAGCCTCGTCTGTGAAACCGGGGAAAGTGTTTTTGTGTTAAAATGTTAACATTTGAAGTTTAGTCAACCTGAAATATGAAGAATTTTTGAGTTCTCTCAAAAAATTAAATCCAGGAAAGTTACTTTTTTTTTTTTTTTTACAGTGTATCATAAGCCATTTTTCTTGTTATAAACCTGGGAAGCGTCAGTCGAAAAAGTGTCAAAAACTAGAGACTGATTTCAGCAAAAAGTAATTTATGATAACATTATGTTGGTGACAAACCAGTAGAATTTATAGAAAGTTAAACCAGGATTATTATAGTTAACTATATAAATCTAAAACCATAAAAAACATTTTAGTAAAATAATAAAATAGAAATATAAAATAGAAAAAACATTTTATTTCAGCTAGTTTCCAAGGCATTTTTGTTTAAACTTCTAAAATAAAACAAATAAATAAAAAAAGTGAATAAAAATGACAAATTTACTAAAACTTAAAGTGAAAACATAAAATCTCAAACTAAAATCTATTTGAAAATATCAACGATACAAAAGTAACACTACGCTAATCGTTCAAGTTTGCAAGGCATAAAGTTGCGTGTCCAGATCAATCCGGCAGCGCGGCACAGAAAGCCTTTAGAGAAGTTAAAGAGTCGAGCGCAGCTGACACAGTTCTGAATCATAAGAGCCCGGCGTCCCTCGATTACAGAGCGGCTCTGATTTCATCTCTCCTCTACACGAGTCGCCCGGCCATCAATAATTCAGGCCGAACTAGAATGCATTAACATTGCATTAAATGTTTCTCGGGCTCTTTGCACACATGAAAGAAATGAATCCATCAGAAAAAGCTCATCTCGGCTCCACAGCGCTGGCCTTCACAAACACGGTTTCTACATTACCTCTGAAGCAGACACTCTTTAACCCTTACACTCCCAGCTTTCAACACAGACGTCAAAGTGCACGGTCCAAACTTTAACGGTTATAATAATTCATGAAGAAAGCATTTTGCGATGTTATTTTGATGTGCCATTTCCATGCAATGCAATGTTTGTGACAAAGGTCAGAACTCCTGTTACGATGTAGACTTTTGCGGTGCTCTCTTGTCATATAGTTTGTCATTAGATTAGGATTTATTAGTAATATAGTGAAGCTGAAGGGATGGGTGACAGGTAAAGGTTAAGAAACGCATGGGTCTGGTCTCAGAGAGAGCTCCGGATGAATGTGTGACAGTCGGCGGCTCACATGAATTAATCACAGACGATGCCACTTCCCAAATTAAGTACAATGTTATGTATTATACAGACTTGTACTTCAGTGAACATGGCACTTCATGAATTAATCATTCTTCTGTCGAAAGCTTCATGTATTTTTCAGCTTCGCCGGGTTTTATTGTAACGCGTCTGTCGTCGTGTGTTTCTGC